TACAGTTACCCTTTGAGGTTGGTGTTATTATTCTCATTTTATAGATGAGGACACTGAGGTCTAGGGAGGTTAAGGCTCAGGTTGTGTGTTAGTAGAAGAGCTTGCACCCAGAGCCTGTGTGTCTGATCCCAAAGGAAGGGATGCATTTGTCCCATTGCGCTCCCTTCTGTACTCCATCAACCATCAGTAATAAGTATCACACAGTAGCTGGTGTTTGTACATAACATACAAACACAAATACTCATCTTGCCCCATGCCCTCTGCAGGGCCATGGAGGTTGCTCTCAGGGTTCAGGGCCAGAGGGTATAGGAGAGCTCACCCTTGTTCTTGGCGAGCTTCCAGTATTAAGAGAAAAGCTGGATACATACCCAGATCATGAAAAAAAATGCAAACCCTGCAACACATCAATATGTACAAAAGTTTTCTTTGTGGATATATTCCAAGGGCTTGGCACATAGTAGGTGCTCAATACATATTTGTTGAATGAATGAAAAGAATACCAGCTGCATATTAAGTGCTAAGTAATGGAGCCATCAAAGCTTGGTGGTTTATTGTGCAAAGCTATGTGGTAGGATAGGGTGGGGACACAAGAAGCAGATGATGTGGTCATTCCTGGGGGTGGGGGTGGAGAGAGGTGACCTTCCTTGCTGGGGCCTGAAGGAAGAATGAAGTGAGTGAGATGTGTCCTTAACCCAAGTAAAGTCCTTGGCTTGGGTTATAAAGGGGTGGTAGGGAAAGTCAGTCAATGAGAGCAAGGATCTTGAAGGCCTTGGGGCAGACTAGAGACCAGAGGCCAGATTGGAGAAGGAAAGAGAAAAGTGAATCAGAGGAGATTTCTAGGAAAAGAGGCAGAAATAAATACTTGGTCTTAGACTATTATTCTCAAGGGCAACTTAGAAGAAGAGAAGGAGAGTGCTGCATGGGTGGAGAAGAAAATGAGGGAGAGATCTTGGGAGATAGTCAGGAAGAGGAGGAAACTGGAGGACAGTGGAGGAAAAGTGGGAGAAGATCTGGGGAGTATGGTGGAGGGGTCACTCCAGGGATGAAAAAGCAGAGGAGGAGGTGGATGGGGGAAGCAGCACAGCACCAAGGGGAAGTGTGTGTAGACCCACTGGAAGAGGTGGGCACCATAGCTCCAGATTTATAGTAATGAACCCTCACAGGGCAGGGACATGGGGTGAGGGAGGTGCAGGTACTCAGCTGGTTAGTGGGATGAACGTCACCAGGATGGAGCTTTTGAGTCAGGCTCCAGCCCCACCCAGGCATCCCACAGAGGCCTTCTGGCCCTTTTCCAGTGGGACTCCTCTCTGGTGAGTTCTGATGTATAATTGGCCAGTGTCCTGGGCTCTCTTGGCTGAGAAGGCAGGGCTCTGACTTGGGCCTCTCCCCAATCACCCACCCAACTGGCCTGGGTCAACTCCATTATCAACATCTCAACAGCCCAGGTGTTGTGTAAGCAGTCTCCCCACTACCCCTCAACTTCCTTCACTGGACCCTGGCCTGCATCTGCTTTCTATGAGTAGAAAGCATGAGCCAGCTGCAAGGTTAGTAAGGGCATGGCCCTCTGGACACCTGTAAACCCGGCATGCAGATGCTCTAGATGTCAAAGGCTGCCTTCCAGCCCACAGCTGTGTAGCAGAGTCTCAGGGATGACACTGTCCCTGCTTATGAGGGCTGTGCCTCAACTGGCTTTCTCCCTCTGTCTCCACTGTCACAGCATCTCAAGATCCTCTCCACTCCTGCAAGGGCCCACAGGATCACCTGTTGTCCACCCACTAGCCCTGTCTCATTGTCTCTCACTGTCTGAAATGCCTCCATGCACATCTTCTCATCAACACTGTCCTGTCCGCCTTTTGCCTAAAGCTTGTCCTCACCCTCTCCAGGGAGCCTTTCTTGCCTTTCCCATCAGATTAGCTGCAATTGCACATTGTCCTAGAAAGGACACTGTCAGCAGTCATTGCATTCCTCAGCATCTGACAGTATGTCTGAAAAATAACCCTCTTTAGACTTCTGGCCTTTCTCATGAATTTGAATATGCTCTACCAGACTGGGAGCTCCAGAACCCATGTCTCCTTCCTCCTCTTAGTGCCTCCTTCCCTCCAAAATTAAGACAGGATTGAGCATAGAGCTAGGAAATATCAGTCACAAAATCCCTGAGTCCCCCAGCTGGAAAATTTTATCTACTCTAAGCGGTCAACTATCTTGAGGAGTCTGCCTTATAATACCCTCCAGGGAGCAGAATGAACTGAAGGGAGCACTGAACAAGAACTTCCTAATGTTAAAATCACCTAATTTGCCCATTCTTTACAGGTGCCCCTTGAAATAAAGTTCCACTTGGGCTAAGAGACTCTGATCTCCAGATCTGAAGGTCTTTTGTTCACCTTATCTCCACAAAAATGGTGGCCACTGCAGAATAAGAAGTGTCTTTCTTTTACATAAAGCCTCCCTAAATGGAAGAGATAATGCAAGCTCCTTTAGAAAACAATGACTACTTGTCTCCTTCTGGGAAGTTCTTCCTCAACGCCAACTTCCATTTGTCCATCTGCAAAGAAAGCTTGCCTTCTCTTGTTCTCATTGGAGCACCATTGTACTTGGATGAATTATCAAGGTCGTATCTCCCAACCTCAACCCCATGAAATCCTCTGGCTACTGACCAATAAGGAGGTTTTAGGATCAGGCAAAAATAAAGATGAGTGAGTGTGCCATCATTTGATTTGTGACTGAGGATTTCTAATGGTCTGTTAAGTCCAAATAATAAATACACACTTATGAATTATTCACAGATTCAGAATTTTCAGATTATCCAAGCTTCTCTTCTCATCCAGTAGTATGGTTGCCCAAGGATTGGTGATGTGTTCCTTTGCAAAGAGAAGAGATTCTCATTGGACCTTCTCTGAGGCAATCAGGCTGGAGCAGAGATGGAAGGAGGGGCATTTGTTTTGGTGTTCTTTTCGAGGACAAAAGGAGTAACCATGGCCAAAGGTCTAAGATCCTCTGCCCCTTGGACTGGCTCCCATTGTAGAATACAGTAGATAACATTTATTGAGCATTTTCTATGTGCTGTTAAACATTGTCCATGCATTATTTCATTTAATCCTTCTACAAGTTCTTTAAGATAGGCAGAGTTAATGGAAACTGGACACAGATGGCTTAGGCATGTGGGTGAGTATATCCCATCAATGCTGCGGATATGTCAGCAGCAGCAGCAACAACAACAACAACTAATATGATTACACACTTAGAGTGTGCCAGGCTTAGTTCTAAGTGATTTACATGGATTAACTCTTTTAATCTTTACAACAACTTTATGAGGTGGGCACTATTATTTCCTTCATTTTAGAAACCATGAAATGAGGTACATGGAGGTTTAGTAATTGCCTGAGTTTACACAGCTAGAGAATGGCAGAGCTAGAATTCGAAACAAGGCAGTTTAGAATCTGAGTCTGTGTGCTTAACTAATATGCCATGTATTCAAACTTTTTATTTATTTATTTTTATGTTTTCTTTTTATGGGTACATAATAGTTATACATATATATGGGCTACATAAGATATTTTGAGATAAGCATAAAATGTGTACTGATCAAATCAGAGTACTTGGAATATCCATCACCTCAAACATTTATTATTTCTTTGTGTTGGGAACGTTCCAAACCTACTCCTTTAGTTATTTTGAAATACACGATAAATGATTATAGTCATTCTATTGTGCTACTGAACACTAAATCTCATTTCTGTTATCTAACTTATTTTTGTATTCATTTACTAACACCTCTTTATCTTCCCCTCCCAATTACCCCTCCCAGCCTCTGGTAACCATCATTCTACTCTCTCTCTGATGAGATCAATTTTTTTAGCTCTCACATATGTGTAAGAACATCTGAAATTTGTCTTTCTGTGCCTGAATTATTTTCCCTAACATAATTTCCTCCAGTTCCATCCATGTTGTTGCACATGGCAGGATTTCATTCCTTTTTATGGTTGAATAAAATTCCATAGTGTATCTGTAACATATTTTCTTTATTCATCCATTGATGGACACTGAGCTTGATTCCAAATCTTGGCTATAATGAATAGCACTGCAATAAACATGGGAGTGCAGATATCTCTTTGATATATGAATTTTCTTTCTTTTGGAAGTATACCTAGTAGTGGGATTGCTGGATCATCTGGTGGTTCTATTTTTAGCTTTTGGAGGACCCTCCATACTGTTTTCCATAGTGACTGTGGTAATTTACATCCCACCAGCAGCGTACAAGTGTTCCCCTTTCTCCACATCCTTGCCAGCATCCTTTTTTTTTCTTTTTTGATAAAAGCCATTTTAACTGGGTTAAGATGGTAATCTTATTGTGGTATTGATTTGTATTTCTTCGATGATATGTTGAGCATTTTTAATATACCTGTTGGCCATGTATATTCTTCTTTTGAGAAATGTCTATTCAGATCTTTTGCCCATTTTAAAATCAGATTATTTGGTTTACTTGCTATTGAGTTGTTTGAGTTCCTCATATGTTGCAGCTACTAATTCCTTGTCAGTTGAATAGTTTGCAAATATTTCTTCCATTCTGTAGGTCATTTTCTCACCTTGTCGATTGTTTCCTTTGGTGTGCAGACGTTCTTTTAGCTCTATGTGATACCATTTGTTCATTTTTTGCTTTGGTTGCCTTTGCTTTTGAGGTCTCAATCAAGAAATCTTTGTCCAGGTCAATGTCTTAAGCATTTCCTCAATGTTTTCTTCTAGTAGTCTCAGTTTCATAGTCTCAGGTCTTACATTTAAGTCTTTAATCCATTTTAATTTGGTTTTTGTATACAATGAGAAATGGATATTTCAACTTTTCAGCTGCAACTATAGTAAGAAATAATTTTACATAGTGACTGGGTATGCACATACATATACATATGCCATACAACTGAAATAAAAAGGGCATGTAACAAGTTATTCTCGTGACATATGGTGCAATTTACTATTTTCTGGTCTACTCTGCTCTATTTGATTTTCTCATAATCCATTTCATTAAAATAAAATTCTGGTTGGTTCAATTAGTGGGTCAGAACATGAATTCTGAATAAACACTGCCCCTGAGCCCACTGCCTCCTAATGATTGTAATGAAGCCCTTCTGCTCTGTGCTCTGGAGTCTGCTGAGCTTGTACACATCTCTGTAACTCTAAGGCAGTAGTAGGAGGGAAAGCCTTAACCTATTTCCCAGGAGAGTCAAGTGCCTTCCCCCAGATTACACTGGGATACTCAGGGCAGAGTCTTGGTTCCTACCCAGCCCTCGTGAGTTCAAGACCCACACTACTTATACTAGATGGATGGCACACACAAATATAGATCTGTTCTCTGGCACCTGCCAAGGGTATTGACAAACTTCCATGCAGGAGTTTCAAGGAGTATAGTGTGGAAAGCAGCAGAGACTCAGGAGATGATAGCAGGGGCTGGATGCTCTCCTCATGTGGCTCTACATGATCTCATAATCTGAGCCAGACACTATACAGATTCATAACAGTGGTGCTCACCCTAGACCTTCTAGGCCCTGGAGGTTACACAGAGGCCTGAGAGGACATCCAGACATTCAATCCTTGTCTAGGGCCTTGTGGGAAGTAATTGTGCTTTCCTGGGACCAGTGGGCTAGTGTGTGCCCCTGAGGCCTCATGGGACACTCTGAGGGAGGGAATGCCTTCGCTCAGCCAAGCTGGCCAATATGGCCTAATAAGGTGGCCTGAGGACTAGTATACATGCTAGTTGAATGTGCAGGTGAGAACCTGTGAGTGTGTGTGTGTGAGATGGTGGGTAGAAAGGTCAGCATGTGAAAGCATTGTGTGTGTGAGTGTGTGTGTTAAAGAGAGAGGGAGGTTGTGAGTAGGAAGGCCAACATGTGAGTGCATTGTGTGTGAGTGTGTGTGTGTGTGTGTGTGCACCAGAGAGTGGGAGAGAGAAAAACATGTTGATAGGTATAGATAAGGGATTTGGGAGTACGTGTGGAGGAATTGGGGTCCTGAGAAGGTGACTTAAGTTAGAGATTCTGTAAATGTGGGGCTTTTGGGATGCAGAAACAGGCCATTTGGTTCGGAGAAACCATCAAACGCCCCCCAAGTTCCACATCATGGGATTCCCTCTCCCAACTTTCCTGGCTAGTCCTATCAGCACCACGGACAGCGCATCGACAATGTCAAACCCGGCAGGACAGAAAGAGTAGCAGCCCCACCCCTTCCCTTCCATTCCAACCTGAGTCACTGCTCACTCCTTCGTCCAACGTCAGTTTCCTCAACTGTGTATTGGGAGGTTGAGGTGGGTGTGGGGGACGTGAGTTGGTCCTTTGAAGAGGAAAACTGCAGTTTAGGGCAAAGTATCATAAACATCTGGCTGCTTCTGGGCACCAATTAAGCACATTAAGTGGGGAGCGACAGCAGCTACACAACCCAAGCCCATAAAGCCTTCTAATTGCTCCGACCCACGTGGTCACAGTTTCCCCACTTATATAAAAGGCCTACAGAGGTGCAAATAGTGAACGCCTGACGCCCCGACCACTGTACTCTCCATTTGGACGTCTCCATCCTCAGAACCTCCTCTCTTCCCCAAAAAGCACCATGACTTGCGGATCTTACTGTGGTGGCCGCGCCTTCAGCTGCATCTCGGCCTGCGGGCCCCGGCCTGGCCGCTGCTGCATCACTGCTGCCCCCTACCGCGGCATCTCCTGCTACCGCGGCCTCTCCGGGGGCTTTGGCAGCCACAGCGTGTGCGGAGGCTATAGGGCCGGCTCCTGCGGACGCAGTTTCGGCTACCGCTCTGGGGGCGTGTGCGGGCCCAGCCCCCCATGCATCACCACCGTGTCGGTCAACGAGAGCCTCCTCACGCCCCTCAACCTGGAGATCGACCCCAATGCTCAGTGCGTGAAGCAGGAGGAGAAGGAGCAGATCAAATCCCTCAACAGCAGGTTCGCGGCCTTCATCGACAAGGTGGGTGTCCTGGATCACACCCTTCCTGAACTCCCACCACCTACACAGCCAGGGCTGGGCACTGAGGATGGAGTCAGAGACAGAAAGACCTCTGACTGCCTGAGATCCCAGTCTGATGGGAGAGGCACGCAGACACACAGACAGACACACACACACACACAGAGACACACACAGGCACTCAAGACGCAGATTCAGCTGACAGTTCAGATACAGGGAGCTTGTGAAGGAAAAGTGTGGCCAGGCTGCTCTGGGACACAAGCTAGACATCAGGGATTTGGGGGTGGGGGACATGTGACCGCTGCTGCTGAACTCAGAGGGATTTGGGCAGCCCCAGGGTGAGAAAGTAGGGTGCACTGACTTCCAGATGACATAGGGGAAGAGCTGGGACAGCTGAGCTCCCTTCCAGATGGTGATTCAATTTAGACACCCTCTTCTTGGCACCATCCCCAGAAATCCCATCTGAGATCTGAACCTGGGTACTCTGCCTGTGAGGGATGCTGCCTCACCTGGCTTCAGAGTGAGGAGCTGAGCCTCCACTGTGTTCATCTGCTTGGGGTCACTCAGCTCCCCAGAGAGCAGGCACTGACACCACCCAGCCCTTGCTCCATTCCTGAGTGGGAAATCTAGGCACAGATCATGACCAGGAAATCCAGAAACTCTGTCTCCCACTGCCCACCTCTACTCAATTGCAGATAAGCTCCAGATTTGGGGATTTCCTTTAAAGTATCCCTCCTCCACCAGGTCCCCAGAGCTGTCTTTGGGGGCACCAGAAACCATCTGCCCCTCCTTCCCACCCTGAATGGCAGGTGCGCTTCCTGGAGCAGCAGAACAAGCTGCTGGAGACAAAGCTGCAGTTCTTCCAGAACCGCGAGTGTTGCCAGAGCAACCTGGAGCCCCTGTTCGAGGGCTACATCGAGACTCTGCGGCGGGAGGCCGAGTGCGTGGAGGCTGACAGTGGGAGGCTGGCCTCAGAGCTCAACCACGTGCAGGAGGTGCTGGAGGGCTACAAGAAGAAGTGAGTGACAGCAGGAGGGATGCTGGGCACAGGAATGGGGTTTAGGTTAAATACACTGGATTAGACAATAAGAACTCCCAGGTAGGGTGAGTGGCCATGACCGCTAGGATGACCGAGGGTGGCCGGGTCTTTTCATTTGTGGAATCTTTGCCCAGACACCTGTGTAAGAGGAGGGCTGTGACTCCCACTACCTGTCTCTATCCCACTTCAGCCTTCTCTTCCCTGAGCCACATCACCCAGCAGCTCTCCCCTGCACTCGGTGGGGAGGAAGCCTCTGCAGGGTTCTGCTTCTCTCCTGACCCTCAGCCCCGACACCTGTAGCACCTGTCAGATGTGAGCCCAGGGTCTCTCACGAGTGACAGGTCTGGGGCTCTGGGTGTTCCCACTGCCTTGGGTTCTAAGCTCCGAGGGTCTGCAGGTCCAGCACCTGAGCTGGGATTCACACCAGTGAAGGGAGGTTGGGGCTACAGGCCCTGGGAGGATATGCTGTTTACTCCCAGAATGGGGTTGGGGGCTGAGTCCTATTTGCCTCCTGGGGACCTCAGAGACCCTTTGGGAACAGGACTGGGAGGTACCAGGTGAGCCCTCTTCCTCCCCAGTTCGAAGTGGAGAGAGAATCCCAGACACATCCCACATCCAACCGGAAAGCACTCAGCTAGTCTGCCAGGCCCGGGCTGTGTGGGGGTGTTTCTCGTACTGTCCCCGTGGCTGTGATGAAGTGTGATGTGATGGGGGCTCTGCAGAGACCTGCCTTGCCCTGACCTCCCCTCTCTGCCCTCTGCTCTGCCTCAGGTATGAGGAGGAGGTTTCTCTGAGAGCAACAGCTGAGAACGAGTTTGTGGCTCTGAAGAAGGCAAGTGACACAGGATTGAGAAGCACAGATCTGTGGGATCTCAGAATGACAGGCTCTTCCTGGGGACACACAGGGGGTCTCAACCTCAGTGTGGAGCACAGTGACCTTTCCACAGCAGGATAGGACTGCCCAGGTGCAGGTCATTGGATGGAGCATCCAGGGTCTTGAAAAAGGACAATGACCTTGGAACATCTACCAGCACCTGCCTTGGGTGAGGGGGTCGCTGCACTGTCCTCTGTGTGTCCTGCTCTGCTCCAGAGGTTGTGGTCTGTTGCTGAGTCCCCTGGAGCCATAGCAGATACAGTGTCTCTGCTGAGAGACAGTGCAGTCTGTCTAGCATTTTGGGGAGTCGGACCTTGAGGCACAGATACAATCCCAGGGTCTAAGGGAGGATGGAGCAGAATCAGCAGCAGGAACTGGGCTCTTGGAGCACTACTGAAGGACAGGAAAGGGTCAAGGTGTGAGAGCAGGGGGGTCAGTCTGGGCAGGCTTCCTGGAGCAGGAGAGGGGAGAAGGGAGAGACAGGAGGGCAAGGAGGGGTGAAAGGCTGGTGAGTCATGCCCAAAGCAAACAGGATTTATCCTCAGAGGGGCAGAGGATGCCAGCTCATCCCAGGAAGGGCAGAAGGGAAGCAGAGGCATGGGAATGGGACACCGGGGACTGCTTTCCCCTGGCTGCATGGAATGGATGGGCAGAGAGACGAGTCTGGGGGCTAGATTACCAGGGTCCTCTGAGCTCTAACACTCCCCACCTTTCCAGGATGTGGACTGCGCCTACCTCCGCAAGTCAGACCTGGAGGCCAACGTGGAGGCCCTGATCCAGGAGATCGACTTCCTGAGGCGGCTGTATGAGGAGGTGCGGGCCCAGGGGCCAGGCAGAGACCTGGCGGCCAGCAGAGAGGAGAGTTGGGGGTGGGAATATTGGACAGGATGTGGGTAGAGGTTGCAGTCCCTGAGGCTGTGTGAGGGGGCAGGGCTGGGGACCAGAGAAAGCCTGAGAAGGTGGAGTCAGGACATGGTGGGTGGGGCTGTGTTCTCAACTAAAGTCATGACCCCCACCTCCTGCAGGAGATCCGCGTTCTCCAGTCCCACATCTCAGACACCTCTGTGGTTGTCAAGCTGGACAACAGCCGGGACCTGAACATGGACTGCATCGTCGCCGAGATCAAGGCACAGTACGACGACATTGTCACCCGCAGCCGGGCCGAGGCCGAGTCCTGGTACCGCAGCAAGGTGAGTGGCACAGGACACCTGCCTGCTAGACATGGCAGTGGGAGGGATGTGAGGTATCTATTAAATAGGTTTCCTTTACTGGGGATGCTGGTCTCTGGGGATGAGAAGAGATGGCTGCCACTCTGAGGTTAGGGGGGCAGGGCAGGACTGCCATGTGTGGTTGCACAGGCTGAGTATTGTACAACCTGCATAATCATCCGTGGTACCCTGAATGGATGGGAAGTCCCACCCTGAGCCTCATGAGCATCTCTACTTCCCCCAGTGTGAGGAGATGAAGGCCACGGTGATTAGGCATGGGGAGACCCTGCGCCGCACCAAGGAGGAGATCAACGAGCTGAACCGCATGATCCAGAGGCTGACGGCCGAGGTGGAGAACGCCAAGTGCCAGGTATGGGGCATCTGTGCCCAAGGTCAGAGAGACCGAGGGCCTAACCATTGTCACACAGCCTATGTGTGCCCCATCTGGATCTCAGCATTCATTCTCCAGCCCCTTTGTCCATGTAGAGTCCCTGGTTGTGGTCTCTCAGTGAGTCCCAGGTGATGAAGGCGAGAGGCTGTGCTCTGGGGTGCTCCCAGGTTGGTGGGGAGCATGGTCTCATCCAGGTAAGCATCAGAGAGACCCAGAGATTCTGATCTACCTTGTTCTCTCTGTTGTCTTCAGAACTCCAAGCTGGAGGCTGCAGTGGCCCAGTCTGAGCAGCAGGGTGAGGCGGCCCTCAGCGATGCCCGCTGCAAGCTGGCAGAGCTGGAGGGTGCCCTGCAGAAGGCCAAGCAGGACATGGCCTGCCTGATCAGGGAGTACCAGGAGGTGATGAACTCCAAGCTGGGCCTGGACATTGAGATTGCCACCTACAGGCGCCTGCTGGAGGGCGAGGAGCAGAGGTGGGTCCCATAGACCTTTCCCTTTCCCAGCCGTGCCAGAGTTCTCAGCGTGCCCTGTCTTCACACTCCCGGCAGCACTCAAGTTTTGTTTCTTAACCTCCCCACCCTGCAACCAGATAGGTAATTTGTGTAAGTCCCCTAAGTATGATCTAGCGCTGCTTGAGTCTCTCATGTTCACCTAGGCACTGATCTGAAATTGCGGTCTTGTTAATCTCAGTTGAGATCCAGTAATCTGGCAGCAGGTATTCCTGTTACTGAGAAGCCTAGTTAAGGCTTGGGGCCAGCTTGCCTGGGTAGTGCTCCTTCCCTTCCAGCTGTAGCTGCAAGTGCCTCTCAGGATTTCTTCTGTTTTTCCTAGTCTGGCCCTGGCTCCAGCTCCAGACCTGGGAGTTCAGATACATCCCATAAGGACAGCTTCAGATAAATGACACCATCAACTCACATTTTTCTATTATAATGGCAATGAACATCCCAAAGGGATCTTCTATTGCAGCAAGTGGGAATGAGTTAGACACAGAGTAAGGACTTACCCGTTGGGGCAGTTATGCCTTGCTCTCAGGATTTTTGCTTGCTTGCTTCAGAGGTGGGGGGAGTGGAGAAGACCTACTGATCACTCAGCCTTCCTATGGCTGAAGGCCAGCTATACAGCTTGAGGGCAGCTATACAGCTCCTGCTCCCAGAAGGACAATGCTCCCAAAATGTGAGCGCAGTCTTTGCCCTTGGTTTCTTTCCCCTAGTTAGTCAGTTGGTTTCACTCCAAGCTCTTTTTTTTTTTTTTTTTTTTTTTTTTTTTTTTTTTTTTTTTTGTGGACAGTCAGGCCCTTGGCCCTGGGGAGAGGCGGGTGAAGATTGGGGATGTAGAGGGAGCATCTTGTGTATTTGGGAAATGGGGAACACAGGTTTGGGACCTAGAAATTAAAGTGACCACATGATGAGATTTCCAACAAACTCGAGTTGTTCCATTGGAAAGCTCAGAGGCAGGGGTCTGGCTGGGCCTGGGGAATTTCATAAATGAAGAATTCTGGGAGGAGGAGTTTTCCAAGTCTGAATTTGGAAGTTGGAGAGACACATGGAGATGGCATTGGAATCTGAGCGGCCCACTCCTCCAACACACAGGGCTCTTGGAATGAACTCAGGAGCTTTGGTGTGTGTTGCCTAGGGAACCTGGGCATGGGACGATTTGATGGTGGCTGTGGCTTCTCTTATCTGAAGCTGATTTCACCAATCCTTGGCCAGTGTGCTTTCAGGGGAACTCCATTTTCTTCCCTTAGGGGAAGCTATGTGGGAGGGAAATGTGGGCTGGGTGGAAATGAGTGTTTGGGGTGACAGCCCTGCCTTGTCATTGGACATGTCCTCCCTCTGGGCCTCAGCCTTTCCATCTGCTGGATGAGACGACGGTGGTGGGCAGTCTCTGAGCCTGTTCTAAAATTCCATTAGTTTATCCAACAGTTTTGTATTGAGCCAGGCATTATTTTTAGGTGGTGGGGAACGGAACAGACAACAAAGTCTACCCCCCTGACGCCTATAATCTAATGACACCAATCAGACTGGATTTCAGAAGTTAAATCTGCTTCCCTCAAATGCACCTGCAATTCAGTCAGAGCCAACTTCCAGGCAGTGGCAGCTAATAGCTCTTAAGGGCTATGAGCCAGGCTGTAAGCACTGGACGCCTCTTATTTGATTCATTCCTCATAAGAGATCTACGAAGTAGATTTTCCTGATAAGGAAGCCCAGGCTGAGGCTGGCTGAAGCTGGGGTTGCACAGCTCAGGAGCGGTGGAGAGCCAGGCACTTACAGGCCTTCTGTCTCCAGACCCTCACAGTGACCGGGGGCTACGCTGGCTCCTGGTTGAGAGCATTTCTTGCCCTCTCCCTTTGGCAAGTGCCCAGATGGAGGGCCACAGATGTACCCCCTCCACCTCAGTCGCGGGGGCCCAGCGCCTTTTCTGAGGCACTGACCTCTGCCCTTCTCTCCCCGCAGGCTGTGTGAGGGCGTTGGCTCGGTGAATGTCTGTAAGTAGTGGGGTCCGTCCCCTCCTTCCGCAGGGCGGGTCTAGGAGCCTCTGGGGAAAGGGCGCGTGGGCTCACAGCGAGCCACCCATTCAGGCAGCGGCTGCGCCTGACGCACGCCTCCGTCTCTTCTTCCTGCAGGCGTCAGCAGCTCCCGCGGTGGCGTCGTCTGTGGCGATCTCTGTGCCTCCACTACTGCCCCTGTTGTCTCCACCAGAGTCAGCAGCGTCCCCAGCAACAGCAACGTGGTGGTGGGCACCACTAACGCTTGCGCCCCCTCCATCGGGATTGGCGCCTGCGGCGGCAGCTGTAAGAGGTGCTAGGAAGCTGCGGCCTCTGCCAGCGCCTGTAGCCATCATTCTCCACCCAGCCAGTCCTCGGGCCACCGGAACGCGCCTCCCTGGCCGGCCTCCCAAGAGCCGCCGCCAGCTGCGTGCACTCTAAGTGCCCTCCCCACCGCTCCGCTCTGGGAGCCATCCCTGGTCGCAGGAGTCTGGGGAGGCCCGGCCAGCGCCGTGGTCTCTCTCTCTCTAGCCTTTCCTGGTAGTCAATTTGTTGTCCCGAGGATTCATCCTTTTCTTCCGCCTACCTTCTGTTTTTTTGCTGTATGCATTGGTCTTGCCTGACCTCTTCCCCAAAGCTTGGAGGAACGGGGGAGGCCGGGGAATGTCCCTGTCTGCACGACCTGGGACTCTGCCCATGCGCTTCTGCCTGTGGAATGGAGACGTGCACCCTGGATGGTGGTTCTGTGACTCTGCGAGGGACAGGCCCACGTGTGGCCCGCAAGAGCTTCTGAAAAAGTAATGACTCTGCTGCCTTCTCCTTTGTCTTTGTTTCACTCTGTGTTTCCAATAAACTCATTGTAGCGAATCAAGCCTAGTGTCTCAGAGTCTTGAAAATGCCAGGGTCCTCCTGTGATAGGGGTTCCCTGCCAGAGCGCCTCAGGACCCGTTTATCCACTAGTTTTCAGTAGCTGAAAATGACCACAGTAGGTGCCGCCCATCTGTCCTTGAGCAGCCCAGGCCTTGGGGAAAATGAGAGAAGACTCAGAGAGCCAGGGAGTCTTATGGGATCATGGGTTTCTTTAGACCAGGATTTCTCAACTTCAGCACTATTGACAGTGTGTGGGCTGGGTCATTCTTTGTTTTAGGGCTGTTGTGTGCATTTGGTAGGATGTTTAGTAGCATCTCTGGCCTCAATCAGCTAGATGCCAAGCATCCTCCACCACCCTCTTGTGACAACTAAAAATGTCTCTAGATGTGGCCATATGTTTTCTAGGGGTTCTCAACCAGGGTGATCATCCACTGCCCCCACCCCAAGGCCTTCCTGGAGGGGAAAGTTCATGGGGAAAAAGACAGGTGAGAATGGAAGGAAGGTATGTGAGAGAAGGGAAGTATGTGAGAGAAGCACTGTGCGGGGAGAAAGAGCCTTGGGTTGAGAGTCAGGAGAACTGGGCTTCTCATTCCAAGCCTCAGTGGCCATTTGCCACATGTGTGACTTTGGGAAAATTGCTTCCAGCCCCTAATCTTCAGCTGCCTTGGCTGTGGAATGGAGAGATTGGACAGTATTCCTAAGATCCTTCTAGCTCCCTACGTGGGATTGTGTTTGAAAGGGCTATGTTAATGCCCTTTGAGTGCCAGTTCAGTCATTTACTAGTCTGTAACTGTGGGCAAATCACTAAGCCTCACTGAGCTTTAAGTTCCTTCAAATTTAGAGTGGGATGATGATATCTACTGGGCCGTAGGGAGGTGTTTCAGATATCTATTACACATAACAAGTCACCCAAATGGAGAGGCTTAAAGCAGCAATACTTTATCATGCCTCAGGCTTCTGTGGGCTTACTGAGCAGTTCTACTTTACAAGATGCTGTTTGGAGGGCTAGAATGTCTGAAAGGCCAAAATCTCACATGGCTGGACTTGGTGCTGGCCTCCAACTGGGAGTTCAGCTGACGTGGTTGGCCACGGTGTATCAGTCAGGGTCCAATCAGAAAATAATAATTTGAACAGAGAAAGTTTAACATAAAGCATTATTAACCATAACAGAGATTGGCCAGTAAAAAGCAAGAACTCTAAAGACCACAGGAGCTGCAGCCATAAGGAGCAGCCCCTACCCCCAGGGCTTTTCTTCGGCATCCAGAGATGGCTATCCTGCTTTCACTAATTGTCTCCTTGAGCACATTTAGGCTCTGCCTGATGCCTGGGCCCCAAAGTCAATGTCACAGGTTTTGAGTTTTGTTTCAGCAGCATCTCTCTGCCAGGTACCAACTTGCCCTCCACTTATCTATTGCTATGTAACAACACATCCCCCAATTTAGTGGCTTAAAACAACAATATTTTTCATAGTTGTGTGAATTGCCTGGGTAAGTCTTCTGCTTCATATCATTGACTGGGGCTCTGGCCCTGCTGAAAGGTCCAGGATGGCTTCACTTGTAAGGTTGGCATTTGGAGCTAGCTCTGGTCAAAAGTTCAGGAGCTGATGGCCGGGGCTTCTGTTCTTCCCTATGTGCTCCAATCCCTTTAAGGCCTCCTGGGCACGGAAGCTGCAGAAGGTGCTTTCCATCAGATTCTATTGGTCAAAGCAGTCATGCGGCCAGCCCAGGATCAAGGGGAGGAAAAACAGACTCCACTTTTGATATGAGCAGTGCCATGCACAGAGAGGGAGGAGCTGTTGGGGGCTCATCTCTGAAGATAGCTACCACAGGAAGATTAAATAACACAACACAAATAAGTTTGGGGTATAGTGTGGCATACAACAGATACTAAACAATTAGTTTTTATGACTGCTCTTGTTGTTATTACTATCATCATGACATCATAACAGTGCATTATTCCCAGCCTCTGAATAGCAGGGGAAGAGTGGGCTGGTAGGAAATACTGGGAGCTGAAGGTTTGGCATCCTAGCTTTTGTCAGCAGGAGTGTGTGGCCAAGCTCCTTCAGCTTTTGGAGCCTCTGGTAGTTTACCCACTTGATAAAGGCAGGTGATAGCAGCAGCCCACTGAGTGAATGAGAGCTTCAGCTGGTGTACAGAGAAGGGTGGATGTCACAGCACTGTTACTCTGGGTACTGGCACTGCCACACTGGCCCTATCTCAGGCTTGTCAGCACAGAGGGATCCACCATCCAGTTAGCTCACATTCCTTAGCAGCCAGCAGGAAGTTTCCAGAGAAGAGGCAGCTGGCTCTCTGTGAAGCATGGAAGGCCTCATGAATTGGCTCATAGCATCTACCTCTGCAAGAGGATGGGAAAAGTGCCTGGAAGGAAGGAGGAATGAGAAACACCCTTGGGTGAAGAAAGTTTTCATGGAGTGGAGTTGGAGCTGGGGTAGGAGGGGCCGTGGAGGAGGATGTAGAAACGATGTGCTCATTTTCAGCTTTTAGAGGCATTGGAGAGCAGCCCCCACTCTCCTTGGCGGCCTTCCTGATGCACTCAGAGCTCCTGGATGGCCCCATGCTCCATTTCCAGCCTCATCTCTATCTCTCACATACTGTTCTCCATGTCTGGAGCACCTCTCTCCTCCTGGTTAACTCCTTACTTCAGTTCACTTCTTGCTTTCAAATGTAAGCTTTGCAGGGACAAGCATCTTTAACTATTTTCTTTTCTTATAGGAACCCAAGCTTGTGTAACAATACCTGCTACACAGCAGGAGCTCAATAATGATTTGTTGTTGAAATAATGAGCTCCTGGTTTTCCTTTAGGTCTCAGCTTCAATATTATCTCCTTTAGGAAATAATCAGCTTTGCCTGCTTAACAATCCTCTGGCTGTGATTCTTTTTTTCTCCCAGCACCAAGGCTCAGGGTTCTTCATAGCCACCCCCTCCTTGGTGGAGAGGTGGCAGTGGTGGTGGAGAAGATGGGGCTCAGGGACTCAGGACCAGACTCTCCAACAATCTTTTCTAGCCCCTTGAGCTGGTTGGGTGGAAGGGAGATGAGTCACCACCAGAGGCATGGAGCCTCTGGGTTCCCCCAGGTGGCACCTCCATGACTTCCCGAGGCTGGCAGTCCTTACAGTATCCTCCTTAACCCCCGAGAAGGGAGTGTTAAACCCCAGAGCAGAAATCAGAGCCCCTTCCCAAGAAAGGCAGAACTGAAAAGGCCCCTGGAAAGCCTCTGGTCCAACCCCTTATTTGACAGGTGTTCAGGGCATCTTGAGTCAGTGTAGGGGAGAAAGGTCGGGGGCAATGAGGAACAGGAAGCTGTGACAGGCACTGAGCGATCAGTCAGAGCTAGACATACAGGGGAAGGTACATTGTATTTAAGTCTGGACTTTGTTCCTGGGACAGTGGTGACCCACTGAAAGCGCAGCCTTGTGTTTGATGACGGTCTCTTTGGCTGCTGTGAGGTGGGGCATGGAAGGGAGAAGAACAGGACTCCAGGCAAAATGGTGGTGGCTGGGTGTGCTGGCAGCAACAGGGAGAGAGGAAAGAGGGGCGTGGAGAGGTATTTACGAGGTAGAAAAAGAAGTCCTTGGGGCTTAATGAATATTGAGGGTACAGGCATGGATAAATCATAGGTTCTGGTTTGGGCAACTGTGTTGATGATCTTGGTAAGAGAGACTGGAGGAGACTCCGGTTGAGAGGGTGGGAAGCAATGAGTTAAGCTGGAAGGTGTGCTGAGTTCGAAGCATCTCTAAAACTGACAAGTGGAGTTGTCTTGTAGGAACTGGAGCTGGTGGGTCTAAGCCGAGGAGGGAGGGTAGAAGGAGAATCATCAGGGCTCTGAAGCCCAGGTGGGGGATTTTAACCAGGGAGGACATTAACTGTGGGTGGTAGCTGAAGGTGAGAGACTGATGCGACTGCCTAGGGAGAGTGCAGAGAGGTGGGAAAAGGCCCCGGGGTAGTTGGATGTTTGAGGCAAGGTGCAGGGTGAGGTGTAAGTCAGTGAGCAGAACTGCCTGGGAGGAGCTGAGAGCCTGGCCTGGGAGATAAGGAGGTGAAAGGCCCGAGGCTCAGGAATTGGGAAGTGGTAAGGAGAGAAGGCACTGGGCAGCCCCTGGAGCTTGGGGGAAGGCTAAAGGGCCCTGGGAGTGCTGGAGATTCCAGGGGGAGGAATGGAAGGAGGTGGGTCCTCCAAGGACATCCTGGTGAGACGGGTGGGAAAGGCCAGGGGCTGGGTGAAGGGGAGGAATGAAGAGGGCCAGCAAGGAAGGCAATGCACAACACTGGAGGTGGGCTGCAGCCTTGCGAGGACAGTTCCAGGCCTGATTCCTTGAGGGTGGGGTGAGGGGCTTCTCAAAGTCTTCCAGAGCTCTCCAGAGCTTTCCAAGTGGAGGACAGGAGAGATTGGGCCAAGCAGCGGGCAGAGGAGCCTCTTAGCCTTGGGGTTGAAGCTGTGAGGTATCTCAGATGAGGGCAGTGAGTGGGGCAGTTGAGGGAGTGAGTAGATGGTGTCCTCATGTCAGCTGTGGAGAAGGCTGCCAGGTTCTGAGGAGGTGTGTGCATGGGGGAAGGGTGGGCCAGGGGCAGGTGCCAAGGCTCTCATCTTTCCCTGTTTGGTGGGCAGCATGAGGAGCACGTGGCAATGGGGTGGGGTCCAGACTGACAAAGGGTGGCCCCCGAGGGTGGCTGCTGGCCCTTTTGGCAGTTACTGCTATGGTACCTATGTGGTAGGATGGCTGGGTGGCAGAGTGAAGATATGCTAGGAAAAGAAAGTGGGGACTGCGTATGCAAGAAGGGGGCAAAACTCAAACACGCACACAAGCATGCTTACACGTGCATACATATAAACATGCGCATGCACGTGCACTGCCTTCCAGCGGTCATCTGCAGAGCCAATTGGAAGAGCAAAACCCTGTGCCATCCAGACTGATAGGTGTGACAGGTAGAAGGTGCTGTGAGCACAGTCGGCACTGCCTGGTTGGGAGATGACAGAACCATC